TGGGAACTTCACCAGATTGCCACGACTTCTGAAATATGATAGATAGTGGCTTAGGAACTTCATCTGCCAGTTCCCTCAGGACCCGCGGATGCACCTCATCAGGTCCCATGGACTTGTCCACCTTCGTGTTCTTTAGATGGTCTCAAACCTGGTCTTCTCCTACAGTGGGCGGTTCTTCATTCTCCCAGTTCCTGCCTTTGCCTTCCGTGACTTGGGCCATGCCGCTAGAGCTCTTGCCAGTGAAGACTGAGGCAAAGAAGTCATTGAGAACCTCAGCCTTCTCCATATCCTGGGTGGCCAGGTCCCCCATTTCCTTCCGGAGAGGGCCTACATCTTCCCTAGATCTCTTTTTATCACTGACGTACCTATAGAAGCCTTTCTTGTTGCCCTTGATGTCCCTGGCCAGATTTAACTCTATCAGGGCTTTGGCTTTCTTAACCTGATCTCTGGTTACTCGGATAATTTCTCTGTATTCTTCCCAGGCCACCTGTCCTTGCTATTGTTTGTTAATGTATCTGTGTACATGGTACAGGCCGTAGAATCTTTTCAGTAATGCCTGCATCACGTTTGTAAATGATTAAAAAATGTTTTCTAGAAAGGCGTGTGGGCTTGATTTAAACATAGCAGTTATCAGAGTCTGTCATACATCTAAGGAAACAGACAAAATGACATAATTTTAAAGAAAAATAGCTGTATTCCTTGGCTGCAAATACAATCTGATCCTACAAGATTAGGGAATCAACTATGAGTGATGCTACTGCATCTCGTTAGTCTCCTTGATAGAGCCATAGAGCTTTCCATTCACGGATTTGGAGAAAGGATGGATGCGATACTTATTTGAATAGGGAGCAGTACCTGTAGTGTTATCTTGGTGGGAAGAGACTTGTTTGTTTCTGAAATTAATATCTCAGAAGCTATAGAAATCAATGACACTCTACCAGATAGATTGTCTTCTTGGTATGGACATGAGGATTTTTTTTCCAAGCCCTTGCTTTTCGTGTTTATAATATAAAAATAATTTGCTGCACTTAATGAGTCTGTCACTTGACTGATTATGGTTATTTTCTCTCTAGTGTGCCTGTTTCAGATGAATAATAACCTCACATGGTTCCTTAGGGTATGCATCTCTCAAAGAAAGACTTCTATACTAGCATTTAAATATCTTCTTGTTGTGTTTAGAGGAAGCAGGGATAATAGAGTCTTTATTTTAACTTTGATGCTAGATCCTATAAAAATAAAGTTTAAGTTTGGTACCAACGTAACAGAGGTTAAATTTGACAGGCTAGTAGGAACTTGTGCAAAGTACAGAAAATATGCAAAGATAACTGTTATTTTAATGATTAGGATTCTGAAATGAAATACCTGAAGTTCTACTTTTTAGTTAAATTGGAAATGTAATTTTCTATCTCCATTTGATTACTAAATGAGGGAACTAGCTGAGGTGACATATTTGGAGAATGTGTGCTGCTGTGCAGGTTTTTTTGTGGTAAGTCTAATGATTGATAAAACATAGAGCTCTCATTAATGTTTTTAAAGAATGTCAAATCTAAAGACACAAAAATGCCAAAATATCACTTGAACGCCGTTGTGTGAAGAAGCCCATTTTGTGTATTTATGATGGAGAATACACATATTTATTCACATATTTAATATACATTTTGATGACTTCAGGTTTTTACCAAAGAAATTGCCCAAAGAATGCTGAAAGTATCAGCTTCTACATTAAATGCAGGGACATTTGTTTAAAAACATGAGTGCTAAAGGAACTGCGTAGCTGTGAATTTTAGTGATATGCTGGCACATTCATACAAGAAGTAGGAGAGCAGGGTTTAGCACTTTCCTTGGCCTGAAGCAATTCATGTCCTTCTCTCCTGTCATCTAGGAGGATGTTGTAGAGCAGAGAGTGCCAAACTTCTTGTCTCTTACTGTTAAGTAAGAGCATTCCTAAATTTCCATTTCACTGAGATCACACCCCCTCTGTTTTTACATTCAGTGCTGCCTTGCCCCAGTTGCTCAGCAGTTCTTCAGTCCCATTCTTCTGTCCTCCTTATGCAAATTGCAACCATGCCAGAATGAAAGCATATTGGTCAACAAAGCTAACCAGCAAAAATTTCTTTACCTGCCAAAGGATTCCGCCAAGGATAGCTTGTGGTCATTTAGTTTCCTTAATAGCCTTTGGTGAAGTTTTTTGAAAGTTCAAATACACTATGTCTACTGGATCCCCTTCATCTGTATTCTTATTGACACTCTCATAGATCTCCATCAGATTAGTGAGACAGGATTACTCATTTCCAGCAGTGTTCATCCACGTATATGATCAGTGATCATACCTTTTTATAAGATCCAGTGATCTTACTATTTATTATGGACTTTTCCAGAGAGGAAAGTCATATTTCTCTGCTCCAGAGTCTAGTTGTGGAAGTGACACTGCCAGATCCCTTCTCGTCAGGCACAGTGTTACTTCATAATAACAGCTGCATACCTTTGCCAGTAGTTCTGCAATTTCATGTTTGCATTCCTTCAGAACTCTCAAGTGAATGCCATCCAGGTCCAAAGTCTCCATTTGATATTTGTGGTGTTTTACCTCATATTTCTTGCTGAAGAGAATGAGTTAGGAATGGGAATCCTCTCTGCTATGACTTTGTCATCCCTTTTTAAATCATTTTTAACTGTTGTCATCAAATAGTCTCTCCAGTTCTGTAGTTGTCTTTTTTGGTATATTTTTTATATATTTTGGTTTTCATATATTAAAAGAACCTTCACCTATTAGCCAGAACATCCTTTTACAAAGTGCTTTTCAAATTAGTTTTTAGCCTTGATTTTCTGTTTGCATTTTGTCAGCGGTATTTTATGAGCTTTGGTGTCCCCCTTTTTCGGGCAAGCTTTTCATTGTTTTCAATGCTGACCTTTGCCCTTTGACAGCCTCACTAACTTTTCTGTTAAGCCATATGGGTTTTAGGGAGGGTTGTGTTGTTTCCTTTTTGGATTGAGGCACACAGCATGCCTGGGCTTCTTACAGTGTTTTTGAACAGCCTACAAGCTGTTTGCAAGCTTCTTGTTATTTGGGCTACTCCTTTCAAAGTCTTTTTCTTTATTGTCTCATTTTTAAGTAATTCCTTTATTGCATATTGAGTATGTGTAAGCTGGATGTATTTCATACATATGTTATTCTCTCCTGCTGCAGCGTTGAACTTAATCGTATTGCTATTACAGAGTAGCTGTCTGACTAACACCTTTGGAATTAGGTCTGGAAGACCCAGTCTGGACTAGCGTCTTTTTGTATGAGTTCTAAGACTAGTAAGGAAAACAGGGACTTTACAGGAAGCACGTCATTTATTGAGTCAAAAAATGTAATCTCCACATGTCATCCTGATACGGCATTGATCTGTCCTACATGTGAGTAGTGAAAATCTCTTAGTACTACTGTCTTAATTTTGCAGCTTCTGTAATCTCCCTTAAATTTCCCAATCCCCATTGTATTGTTAAATTTCTTATTTTCCTACACACAGGTCATTGCTTTGCCACCTGTTATTCCTGTAAAATTGATAGTATCACAGCACTGTGTCCATAGAGAAAACTCTTTTCCCCCAGGTCTCTTTTTACAACGTGATTATTGGACCAGCTACATATTCTGTTTACTATTTTAGGCATTATGATGCTCAAGGTGTTCTTTCTTATGAATGCCAGTGATCTTTTCTCATTCTGTGTTGGACTTTGGATTTAAGTCTTGACCTGAGTTAACATTAAATCTATTAAAAATCTTGATTCCAAATCATGAGTCTCATGAATCTTCGCTCCAAAATATGCCACTCCCACTGACCAGCAGTATGTCAGCTTAACTCAGTTTTAGAATATGCTTGCCTAAGGTCAGACTGCTTAAGGTACCTTCACTGGAGTAGTTTTTACAGCTTTGCTGTGAATTTTCTTTTCCTCTTGAATCAAACTTGAACTGAAACAAGCTGTCAATCTCAGCACTTCATCAGTTAAAACTCATGCTCATTCTAAAATAAGTTTAGCTGGTATCTGAAAAACTTCAGTAATGCAGAAGACCTAGAAAACTAGCATTTCATTGACTCCTGGAAAATAAAACCACTAGTTTTTTTCATCTCCACTCTTCCCCAAGCTGCATAATCACTAATCCTTTGAGTTCAGTCAATAGTCTGTTAACACAGCGGTTAACTGAAGAGCAGGAGCTGGCAAACACTGGTTTGCTTCTTTGCAGTTCATAAATGGCTGTTGTCAGATACTTGTAAATGAACAGTGATGTAATGTTTTTGCCAAAGGATTGAAATTCCTCTGTTAAATAAATACATTGTGCAAGATCTAGAAATGCAATTTTTTCTCTACCTAAAATGTTTCTGCTAACTATCTTGTATCAAAGCCTCAAAATTGACTTTGGTCGCAGAAGCAACTTAAGTTTACATTTAGGTAGGTGCCCCTTGTGTTGTAGATTCTGCTCAGTATCAGATGACACAGTCTTTTTTTGATCTAACCTTAACCAAAATTACAGAGAAAAATATTATGCCAGACCAGCCAATTGGCCTTTGTAATGATACCTGGTTTGGTATACTCTCCCAGATTTTTGAGAGTGCCTCTCTCCTGTTCTAATCCTGTATTCATTGGTTATTACTGGAATTAATAAAAAGTTTGACCTCTAGTGGACATCAAAGCACATCCTTCTTTTAAAGTTGATTGATTTCCCCACGTTTTTATATTTGAATATGGTAGTAGTTGTGATTTATTGACAAAATACCTTATTTTCATTTAAGTCTAAATCTCTTTCTTTTTCGGAATGAAGATGAAGGTACCTTTATTCCTGTGTTATAGCTGTAGATATTAACAACAGAAATGGTTACAGCTGAAGTTACCTTGCGGTATATTGGGTTTACTCTATTGAATTAAAAAAAAAAATATTCTACGGTGCAGACTGTGAAGTAAGGATTAAGGTCAATAATTTGTCTTAAGGGTGTTTACAGTTTGTATTTTGGTTTTCACAGCTTCATCACTGGTCCATCTGTAGTTCCTGGCTACTTCTCAGTTGAAGCTGAAAACATTGTGCTGGTTCTGAATGGAAGAGAAAAAGCAAAGATCGCTTACGCCACTCAGTGGTTGCATTACGCACAAACGTTGATTCAGACTCACAAAATACAGAAAGTGGCGGTTGTGCTGCTTGGAAACGAGCAGTGTAACAATGAATGGATTCAGCCGTACCTGAAAAGACATGGAGGTTTTGTAAATCTGCTCTTTGTTACATATGACTATGCGTTGGTAAACGAAGAAGATATTTTCCAGTGGCCTTTGGGAGTAGCTACGTAAGTGCTGTAGACACAAATTACAATTGAAACTTAATTGTTATGCGTGAAGTATGGAAAGTACGTCTGAATGTTACTGCTGATACTCAAAACAGTTATAGTAAGTAAACTGTAGAATATGATCCTATTAATGATTTTCTAAATCAAGCATTGAAATCTTTGGAAATTTCATTTAGCAATAAAAATTATAACAGAGGAAAAGAATGCTAGGATTTAGGCAGCTTGAAAAAAATGAACCTGTGTCTAGTGGGGTTTTCTCTTTGTTTATTTTTTTCTTCTAATATTTTCTTCTAGATTTGATTTTGAGATTTATCATAACTGCTGATGTAATGTGTACCAATGACATGGCAATTTAAAAGATATTTATATAATTAGGTTCCAACTACTGCTTGTTTTGGAAAGGAAAGGGATGGTACTGGTGGTACTTTTTTTTAAGCCCCATTGTGGCTCTCAAAAGGAAACTGTATGCCTCACATCTAGAATTAGTATACTAAAGTATCACAGTAATGTAGTCTGGCTTAACTGCTTACTCACAAAAATGTTTTTGTTATACTTACTGCTCAAACTATTTACATGAAGTAGATAAAGGTTTGATTCAGTTAGATGTATTTTTTTCCAGCTTACTCCTTATTAACAGAGTTAATGATGTTTCAACTACTTAACATGGTAATATGAGAAGCATACAGAGTTATTTTCATATCTTGTGCTGAATTTGAATTCAATATCTCATATTGAGCTCATATTGAATTTAATATCTCCATAGTTGATAAACTGTATGGAGTTTTTATACATAGCTTAAACTTGCTCACAGTGTCATTGAAATACACTAAATTTGAATTCTTGATAGTGTCAGAATTGATGGCATCGGAAGTTCCTAAGCAAAAAGAAGTTGAGTTTTGAGATGCCAAGATTAAGGTGACAGATAACAGAAAGCAGTAACAGTTAAAACGGTAAACCTGGGTCCAAAGCTGAGTGGAGAAAAGTAGGTATCAGAATGGGGTTTTGCAGCCCTTGCACACCAAGAGTTGTGAAAATTGTCGTTAAAGGTAGGCAAATGTGCCAGATTTTCCCAGTGAAGAGGGAAAGTAAAGATGTAGAATCTTGCAAGAGTATTTGGTATGAAGAAAAAAATTTTTTCTGAAAACAAATTAATATTAATCGTGTAGAAGAACTAGGAAAGGACTGTTCCTTCAAAATTTGGGAAGGTGAAGAAAGTGAGTGTGTCTTGAGAGAACCATTAATTGCAATAAAGAAATTATTGTGAAATAAAGTAGAAACTTTGAAACTAGTAAAGAACTGAGATCAGGTTATAGTCTTTCTTACAAAAAAAAAAAGAAACAACAGGGAAGTAGAACAGTGATCCGTCAAAAAGAATAACATTATGTCATGGTTTGATGTGGGGGGGGAGGTTCTGGTGGCAGAAGCTGCCCATCAGATCGGACTCCCATCCCCCTCGGGGCTTGAGCCAATCAGCGCCTCTGCGAATTGCCCTATTTACATTTGTCTTTATTCTTTAAGTAACTGTTAATAAATTGTTTCGCTTTCAGAAAGCCGAGTCTGTTTTGCTGGGGACCGTGGTTGGTGGGTGCTCCCTCTGTTCTTGTCTCAACCCTCAGTCCTTTTATTATATTTTTCTCCTCTCCACGTTACTGGAGTGTGAGACCAGCTGCGTGGAGTTTAGTTGCCGGATCGGCCTAAAACCACGACACATTAGAAGGAATATCTGTCTTAATTTGAGAATGCGAAAGAGCAGAAACTTTTTTAACATTCATCTGTTCCAGAAAGAATATTAACTTTATGTAATGAGAAAAGTTAGTGCCAGCCTTTCAGCTGAAACAGTGTTTCACTAGCTGTCACGCTGACCAAAATAAGTGATGTAAGATTTGAGGAATCAGTCAAAAAAGAAAAATGCCTGATGTGGTGAAAATGTCTAAAAGGCTGGCGTACGGTTTGCATTGAATCCCAGGATTTTGCCTTGGTTTTGTTGAGTCCAAAAACACAAGATAAATAGTTTATATGACAAGCTGTTTAGTAGCCAAAAGATTAGTTTAATGAAGTCCACCCAGATCAAAGTGACATTTTCCTTTCAGAGGTTACCAGTGGTATTTTCAGTTGATAAGCATGCCCGTGATTGAGGTAGCTCAGACTTCAACTCCATAGTTCCCATTAACCTGGCCATTTCAGTCAGAACTAGTGCTAGCATCAAGAACAGCTGCTTTTGAAAAAGCAGGTTTCTCAAGGACATTTCGTAACATACACACACAATATCTCTGATGTTGAAAGAAGACATAAGTATTCTGGAATGTCTCTGAAGAGAGTGATGGGGACAAAGGGGATAAAGACAAACTTGTAGGACAGAACTTGCACTGGTTTGCTTGTGAGTCTGTGGTTATACATGTGGATTGGCAACAAGTAAGTGGTTTTAGTCTTAGAATCTGCTACAGTAAAGATGAAATGGTGCAAAATGCTTTTTCTTTGACATAAACCATGTCATTATCTAATGTGTACATTGTTTTTACAGCTACAGAAATTTTCCGGTTGTAGAACCCAGCTGGTCAATGCTACATGATCCAAGATCATATCTATGTAATTTCTTAGGAACAGTTTATAAGAACTCTTCTAGAGAAACCCTAATGGAAATTCTGAAGCAGGACGGGCTTGATAAACTTTGCTGGATTGCAGCCAGAGAACAGTAAGACTTTGGTTTACTTTGTGAAAATATTCAGACTTTTTTGCCTAGTTCATTATTATCAATCCTTTTCTGAGTGTTAAAAAATAGTACAAGTAAAAGTAACCAGTCATCATCAGAAGAGAGAATATTGCCAAGACTCTTTATATTTGTAGTGTCATGGCCTTTCTGTTGCTATATTTTGCATAAAGCATGTTTTTAAATACACAGAAAAATCTCCTATGTATACTACATATAAAGACCTTTTTTTTTTTTCTTGTATACATTTGATGATGGTGGGAGAAGAAATGCTTGTCTTGCACCTGTGTGTATTAATGTCTTACTAGAAGAAAAAGAGAACTGTATTTTGTTGTGTTCACTATAAGAGAGTGGATTTAATCTGAACGGCATGCCTCTTTTTAATTTCAAGTAGGTACAACAGACCTTTTGACTAACAGGAACAGAGTTCTGATTGTATTTCTTAATTTTGCCAAGCAACACCTGTAAAATATTTGATAGCAGGCACAACAGGACTTAGGAAAACTTCAGCTACCCTGATGAAGAGTCTCAGGAGGTGGATTGTATCTGTGACATAAACTCTTATCTCACAGATGTTTTGAGGCACTTCAGGCAGACGGATTCAGGTTAAGGGATTGCTTTATATCCTAACTTTTGAAGAGCAAACCTCTACTGATTTAAAGTATTAGAGGCTGAAAAAAATTCATTAAAAAGTCCATCGAGTGTCTCCCTGTATGTCTATTTCTGAACTGTGCTGTGAAGTAAATTGACATACATGTTATCCAAGTCATGCAGAAGATGTAAAATGGCGTTTCAATTTGCCTCTTACACTTCTGAGTACTAACAATTTCCTAAAAGGGCCATATCTGAAAAGTATTACAATCTATTTTTAACAGTGACATTTTCAATAATTTTTTAGAAAACTCTTTAAGAATGGTTAAGACTAAAAGTAAAAGCCTATTGATTGTGTGTGTAATATAAAATCTTTCATTGACAGCATTTGCAGTTTTATAAATAATTGAAATTAAAGCATATCTCTATTTTTCATTGCAATACCTGTGGGAAAAATGTTAATTTTCAACCCCGTTACTTTCCTAGGTGGCAGCCTCAAGAAACAAATGAAAGTTTCAAAAACTATCAAGATGCCTTGCTGCAGAGTGATTTGACATTGTGCCCAGTGGGAATAAATACAGAATGCTATAGAATTTATGAAGCTTGTTCATATGGATCTCTGCCTGTTATAGAAGATGTAATGACACTGGGTGATTGCGGAAATTCATCAATGTACCACAGCGCTCCATTACAATTATTAAAAACCATGGGGGCTCCATTTATCTTTATTAAAAACTGGAAAGAGCTTCCTGCTGTTCTAGAGAAAGAAAAAAAAATAGGCTTACAAGAAAAGATTCAAAGAAGAAAAAAGCTTATGGAATGGTATCAAAACTTCAAAGCATGGATGAGACAAAAGTTCATTAATACATTGGAAAATTCATTTTTGCCCAGTGATAAAGGATAAATGGTCCCTTTTGAAAATCTAGAATAGATTGAAAGCTGAATTTCCATTAACCTTCCGAGGAAGCTTTTATACGAGAGGAATCTCACAGGGCGGATTCATTCCTTTTGAAGTCAGCAGAATTGCAGTAGCTTAGTCAAGAGCTACATTTGGCCCTCCATCCTTAACAATGTTCAGAGAGGATGCTGACTTAGCAGGATGGTAGTCTGTAAGGGTGACAACAATTTTATTATTATTTTTACAATTTCCATGTTGGTGTGTGATCTGGTGAAGTTTTTTTTAAGATAATATCTCTTTCAGCACATGAACTTGTTAAGATCCAACATGAGTACAATAGTTATGTTTGAAGAAAGCAGAAGAATGAAAGCTGTGTGGTACGGCGTTATTTATTCTGTAAAGTAAAGAAGAAAAGTATGATTATAGCAAAATTGCCAGGTTTAGCACAATCATTAAGATACATCCTGGTAAGTGATTGTTTTGAAAATGTGAGCTCTCTACTTGATGGACATTTCATTTCCAAGAAAGTGGCTATAAAGCTGATTAAACACTGTGGAATAAAAATGTACGTTTCAAGGTAAAAGCAGAGAACTCTTTCTTAGAAATATTTCATAGCAATATATTTCCCCTTTAATTTTAGATATCAAAATTGCTTTCTTCCTTTTCGTTTAGTTTTGGGACATATCTTTCTGAAGTTCTGCTGCGGGAACATTCATTACCTGCAGTCGCAGCTGCGCGTTCTGAACACCAGGCCTTAAACATGAATTTGCTTGTAGCTGATCTGATTTCTCAAAATCTGCTGAAACTTGTCAGCTCCAAAGGATGACAGAAGTATAATATTGCATGTTTATGGTACTACGTGTACCAGGAACAGTTTCAACGGGTTTTGTTAAATGTAGCCAAAGGGATCTGTCACTGTTCTTGTATGTCAGAAATGAGTACGCATCAGTGTGTTTGGCTGAGCGGTGTTGCTGCACACACAACATTGGCATACTGAGGGTGGTGTAATAGCCAGTTTTCTGTCCTTAAATATCAGCAGGCCATATTTTCATTCTCATGCAGGAATTCAAAAGTCAGTGCAACTGTACTGCTCTGTAATATTCATTTGTGTAGTGATACTGTCGAGTTTTGGAATGTGTATTATACAAGAGCACTTTTGTGTATTTTTCAGTTTTCTTCTGTGTGAAAAAGAAAAATCAAAACCCACCCAAAAAAAAACCCCAAACAAACCCAAAACATAGAAAAATACTGGGGTTTGGTTTGCTAACAGTGGATGATATTCACACTGGCTGCTCTAGATCTGGAATAAGGTATGTTTCAGAACACTCAGATTTTTAGGAGCTTGCATTCCATATGCTTAGTAGATGCTCTCAGAAGACAAATAATCTAAATCCAAATAATCTGAATTGTATGTCTAACGTGCATTTCCTGTGACCCCTCCACCCAATTTACCTGAAGCATCATGCGGTTGCAATACATTGCAAATTGACTCCGTTCAGCTGAGACTGGAAGTACAGCTATCACAACTCAGCATTGAGTTGATGAGCCCTGCTTAGAGATGGGCCTTGTTAGACCAAACGTACAATAAATTTCCATACTGAGGATTTGAGGTAGCCATCTACACTGTAGCACGCAGCACTTAAAGGAAGCTTGAGTATCTGCAATAGTGTAGTTTTATTGCTTTAATTTACCTCTAGTAGAATCTTTCTACACAAGCTGCAAAACTGCAGAGCAATGTAGAGTGCTGTTTTTCAACCTGTAGTCAGCAGTTCCCTTGGCATTTCTGCAAAAGTTCAAGAAACTGCAAAAACAGCTGAGAGAGACAAGTCTTTACCAGTCAGCCTAGATTCTTATAGCTACAGCTCCTAAAAAGTTTTAATGGTATGCAAATTGCAGTCTGAAAAACAATTTGGTGTGTTACTTAGTCGTCAGTAGAAGAAATGTGCTGCTATATGTGTGTTCATTTCTAAGTAAACGTGTGAGTTTATTTCCAAACTCGTGGCAGTTTTATCTTGAGAAGCCAAGACATGCACCAGAATTTTATCAGAATTTCACATCGCAGTTGCTTGCCTGCTGTTGGAGTTCAAAGGGAAGTAATTCGCATTTTATCTATATTTGACCAATTCTTGACACTTCAAATTTACCTGCTTCAATCCAACAGGAATTAGCACTGGAAGTTTTTTCATGTGTTCTATTTCCAGTGCTAACGGAGCAAAGAGAGCAAAATATCTTGCAGGCAAGGGAGGGTTCCTAACACATCGAGCAGATTGCTAGTGTTTTAATTATTTCCTTATTCCACTGTCCAACTTGTGAGTGAGATTGTAGTTCTGTTTTTACTTCCTAATCTTTTCTTATTTGGAAAAATCGTCAGCTCCGTGCCGTATTTGGATCCAGAGATAAGCAAGACAGCAAGAGGGACCTTGGCAAAAAAAGTATGAGACTGAGGGAAGGGAGAGAAAGGTGCAAGAAATTTAAGAGGCAAGGTCTTACCAGTGGTAGAGGAAACTGGTTTAAAAGAAGGGAAGCGGTTAAGCCACTAGCAAAAAAGATAGTTTATCCCCTGCATGACATATCCAGGTGGGAGCAGATAATATCTACTGTCAGTGAGAAAATGAAGAATCAATTCAGTTATTTAATACTGAGAGGAGAATGGATGCTCTGGTTTTGCAGTTAGCCCTCTGGTTCGGGACTGGGATGGCGAAGTAAGGCCTTCCAGAGTACAAAACGAGGAGCTGAGGCCTCTTATAACCACACATGCTGCCTCTGTTGGAGAGGCCGACAGAACTGAGCCTGTCTTGAGTCAAGAATGCCAATTGTAACATCAAATGTTCTACAGATTGCTAATTATGCAGTGTTTTGCATCATACTTAAATGCAGAATATACATAACAAACTCTGCCGGTTTTGTTAACAGAGGTATTTCCTGCTCCTGAAGACTTCACGAATTAAGCTGGATTGCCTTGCTATACGAAGAGACAGATCTGGCTTCTCACAGTTTAGTGTAACTGTCTCTCCTACATAACTCTGAACCCCTTAAAAGTGGCTGTGAACACATGGTGTAAACTGTTTGGAAGATCCCCTTCTCGAGAGCAGCATGTTTCCAAAGAAACATAACCAGTCTTTGTAACTGCTGCTAATCCTCTAGATAAGGAAGAGGCTTGCAAAGGATCTGGCTGCTGACTGCTTACCATTCCTGGACATTTAAGTTGTGCTAGTGTATTTCAATAGTTAAATTTTTTGGTATTTTTAGATACTGTATTTCAATGTCTGAAACTTATAGAAGAAGTGATACAACTAAGAGTTCTGTAGAGGCCTCTCTCACAGCAATTATTAAGGACAAATTAGGATTGCTATGTGTTGGAATCGCCAGTTTCTCTCTTGGCTTACTGCCCTCACCAAAACACTTGCAAAGCCACAGAAATAAAATCCTGTTACTCCTTGGCAAACCTTGCATGTTAGCAATAACCTCTATGTCGTGGGTGAAATGTTTTAACAGTTATGATTTAGTAGCAATTCAATATTTATCAATGATATGAGGTATATCGAAAGCTCAATTTTAGCAGCACTCAATGATTAACCAATTCAAAGATTAACAACATGAATCAATAGGATATGTTATGATTAAAACAGTGACTTAATTACAGATTCGAAAATGACAAGATTCACACTAAATTACTACAAAGTATCCTGAATCAAAATATATATATATGCACATATGTATAAAACATAAAGCATGCAGACAGGTAGAAATATTTGGATCCAGTGAAATATAGACACCCACACTCAAGAAGGCAAATGTGTATATTCAAACACATAGATAGAGAGGTGGATGGAAGAGGCCACACTATCGGTATAATTTCCCTCTCGAGTTTAGAGTAAATACAATGCGCATTGGCATTCCTCAACGGGTGATAATTGAGGAGGGTGCCTCACCTCGGCCTTCCGTCACCTTTGTCGGCAGATGGACCACAGAGTTGATACCCGAGAGGTGTCCCAGCTCGGGGGAGATGCTGATCACAGCTTGCTGTGATCCAGGATTGGTCAAAGGATCTCACTTAGAATCACTACAGGGTCTGAGAACATAGACTTTTGTCAGATACTTTTCCATTTTGGCCATAGTTCTTGTCAGGTAATCTTGGCAACTTTCAGAGTGGGCTGCAGTCCAGGCAGGAAGGGTCTCGGGTACGTTTTCCAGGGGTGCTGTTAGGGAGTGCCTAACCACCCCAACTCACTGTACTTGTACCAAGGACAAGAAGGTACTGGACTGTTTCAACTCACTGCTCTAGTGGATGAGATCAGAAAGTGCCAGATGGTTCCACTGCACTTGAAATTGAAACAAGAACAATGTTGGCTGGTGCTGACATCCAATGCGGCCGGGCACCACACCCTAAGAGCTGGGAAAAGTCAGAAGCAGCTTCCATGCTATAGAGTCCTAAAATATTTCCAGGAATTCTTGCTACTGGGATGGGAAAAATGAATGACAGTTGAACAAATTATGTTTATTCTGGTGTGTTCATAAAGGCTGACCTTGGGACAGACAAAAGTATTTCAAATGAGATTCCAACTGTGCCCTAAGAAACTCTTCCTTCCAAGAAAATTGGTACCTTAAGGCATGTTGGGGCTACCATAAGGCATGTTGGGATTTCCATTTTCCAGTAGCTAAGAAGGAGTTTAATGTTTATGTAGTGCTGTGAGTCCTATACAAAGGGTTTGATGAATCAGCCAAAGAAGAAAAACCTGACCTGATGAAAATGTGCCTGAAAGGATGACGTACAGTTTACATTGGATCCCAGAACTTTGTGTCCATTTTTTTTAGCTTCCTGAGTCCATAAATACAAGTTAGATAGTTTGTACAATAAGCCCTTCTGGGATCAGGCCAAAGTGGTGCTATAAAAACCATTCTGTGCAGCGAAAGTGACAGTGGCTCTAAAGTCTTCTTCTCATCCCAGCAACTTATGCAGTCACAAAGATTTGCATAGATTTCTTACTAACCACCAGTCCATAAATCATGACTGCTAATTCTTTTGATAAAGAAAAAGCTTGCAAAAGGACACGTCACCGATTGATACTTAAACTCTTTGGGTGGGTGAAATTTCAGGATTTCTTCAGTGTCTCCTGAACAACAAAAAACAGTAAATGTGTATGTGTTTTTCTCTTGTCAATATAAATTCTTTTAGTATCTTTACTACCAGGCTGGGAATGGAGGACTGCTTTGAATGTTAAAATCTCTCCGTATGATTCTAGTTTTAAAGAACGTAAGAGCTGAAAGGCACTAGAGGTGAAATCCGAGGGCCAAGAGGAATGCTAATTGGGAAAAGGTTAATACCTACGTACATTTCTGATGTATTTAATTCAAAGTGTTTAAGAACTGGAACCACAAGCAGTAAAATTGTGAGGCAAAGAGTTTCAAAACAGGCTATGTAACATTAGTCTCCTAGGGTCTGGCGTTTCAATGTGGGTAGTATTTTAAGTGTCTCTGATTCAAGGTCCCATAAAGAGACCTTAGTCTTCAGAGGAAAATGCTACAAGTTTTGAAAATCAAGAACATTTTAAGATTTCTCTAGTTCAGTACCCAAAAACCACTAGTTTTGAGAGGCTGGCCACACAGCTGGGTAGTTGTATGGTGGTACCTCCTACCACCTAATTGTGTTGAGAGCCCTGGCAGCACACACTTTGCTATGCACATTTTCTTCTCTGAACACCCTTGGGACCTGAGTGCAACTCGGCAAACACTGCTGTAGTAGAATACAAGATGTTTCTGATCCGTAGTCACACAACACAGATGTGTTTTGTCAAGCGTGCCACGAAATAACATGACT